TTAATGCCCAATGTTGAATTCATTGCACTTGCGATACATTTTGCTACATCCTTCAATTCATCCTCATTCAGTACTGCACAAATGTTTCTTTTTGACTTTTAAATGTTCCCTACCCATTCCGAAAACAAGGTATCCATTGCCTTTCCTGTTTTTGTCTTAAATACTGACATAGGTAAGACTGCCAACCGTCCGGACTTATCTGTTTCTAACAACTTTACGGACTTCGTTTGCAACTCCCTCTTGACCGCATTGACTTCTCTGAAATTTTTTTTGTCCTTTGGGTACGTTACATCCATTGCTTTTTCCATCATACTGATTGCATGATCTATGAAAGCGACTTTTTCTTCTGGGTTAACCATCCTGGCTACTGTATGAATGGAAGACAACACGTCAATCCTCGAAGGCTTCAAATTCAAACAACACTTCAGTCCCTTAGCTAAAACTTCCTCCATCCTAGGTGATATTTCGTTACATGGATTGACAACAGACTGACGGGGCTCACACCATACAGCAGATCAAAACCACGATTTCGGACTCCCGTTAACATGAGACTTCAAGTGTTTGATACTGTCTAGGACATGCCTTCGTTTCACATTCCATAGTCGGTCAAACAGAGTTCTGGTTCTGCTCTATTGCTGGTACTCACGGTAGTGCTTGAAATTGTCTCCCAGGAGAAGTATCCAAAGTCTGTCACACGCACCTCTGATGTCCTGGATCCTCCTGGTGGCTCCGTTCCGGTAGGCCTGATGATTTTTTTCTTTGCATACCACGGAATACTCGATGAGGACAGATATTTGAAGTGCTCCGGATGCACGAAATTCTTGCGTTGACAGACGCCGAAGAACGCCACATCATCTTCTAACTCTGCCAGTTGACGTCCCAGTTTGTCCGAAACCGCGAAGGCTTGAAAGATTAGCGTGTTTGCCGGTGGTGACAAAGTTGGACCATAAGAAAAAGGGACCAAGCCTGCTTCTGGAAAGATCATAGAAATAATCGCAAGGTTGCAGGCGAGGTGGTGATTATTAGCCATGTTGAATTAACCTGAGACTGGAGTTAATGCAACATGGTTAATATTCACCAGCTCGCCTGCACCCTTACGATTTTTAGAGCGCAGCTCTTAGGGGCCCGTTCCCGGCTTGAGCGGCGTCGCCGTCGCCGTCGCCGTCACCAAGGTCATCCCAAGGTCACTTGACCCCCAAGGTCATCCCAAGGTCACGCGAACCCAAGGTCACCCCAAGGTCACGTGACCCCTCCCCAAGGGTCACGTGATCCCAAGGTCACGTGACACCCAAGGTCACGTGACACCCAAGGTCACGTGACCCCCAAGGTCACGTGACACCCAAAGTCACCTGGCTCCCCAAGTCACGTGACCCCCGGGGTCACGTGACCCCCGATGACGTCATCAGTGACGTCACTAATGACGTCACCGGCATCCGCATCGTCATCATCACTGATGACGTCATCAGTGACGTCACTGATGACGTCACCGGCATCCGCATCGTCATCGTCATTATCACTGATGACCTCACCGGCATCCGCACCGTCATTGTCATCATCACTGATGACGTCATCAGTGACGTCACTGATGACGTCACCGGCATCCGCATCGTCATCATTGCTGATGACGTCATCAGTGACGTCACTGATGACGTCACCGGCATCCGCATCGTCATCGTCATCATCGCTATTGACCTCACCGGCATCCGCATCGTCATTGTCATCATCAGTGATGACGTCATCAGTGACGTCAGTGATGACCTCACCGGCATCCGCATCGTCATCATCACTGATGACCTCACCGGCATCCGCATCGTCATTGTCATCATCACTGATAACGTCATCAGTGACGTCACTGATGACGTCACCGGCATCCGCATCGTCATTGTCATCATCGCTGATGACGTCATCAGTGACGTCACTGATGACGTCACCGGCATCCGCATCGTCATCGTCATCATCACTGATGACGTCACCGGCATCCGCATAGTCATTGTCATCATCACTGATGACGTCATCAGTGACGTCACTGATAACGTCATCGGTACCCGCATCGTCATCGTTACTGATGACGTCATCGGCATCGTCATCGTCAGGTGACCCCCTAGGTCACGTGACCCCCACCCAAGGTCACTTGACCCCCCCCCCCCCCAGTACCCTTCCCTCCTCCTCTTCAAGAGCTGCGCTCTAATTCGGCGTTACAGGGAGTTGTAAACGGCTTTCACTTTTCTAAGAGCCCCAAGTTTTTCCATTTTTTTTTTTCTTTTGTTGGGACGTTGACTGTCATTTAAAGAGGTACGGAAACGAACTTTTAGCTCCGATCTCTCTGAATAAATATGGGCTAGGGACAGGCACCACCTCGGAAATATCAATATCGCACTGTAAAACACATGAGAACTCATTTTAAACCTAATTAAACGATTTCCAATTCACACCTGGTGGATGGTGGGAACGTTCTCGTGACATCACTTGTGGCATAGGAGCAGCGCCGTTCTGCGGCAATACGGCGTGCCGCCAGAATTAGCCTAGGCCTGAAAGCCTTGGCGGAGAAAGCCAAAGCGTAGTTGGCCACAGTGAGCTCGTTCTCGTTGCGGCTCTTTGCACGACACGACCCGAGCATGCTTTTCGCACGGCCGGTATTAGTTCCTGCGAGTCGCGAGCTGCGAGCCGACGTTAAAAAAGATATATTTGAACTACGAGAGTGTCAGCAAGAGCCACGCGAATACCTGTTTACAATCGGAGCGGACACGCGCGTTTGATCGCAGTGCTGGATTCGTTCTGTTAGACCGCGTTTCGGTAAGCGCTTCTAGAGCGATCCTTTACGATTGCAACCCGATACTGCAAAGTAGTAGTAATTATGCACCAGCTCACACAGATGGTAAACAAACCGTTGCTAGGGGCGTTGCCTTGTGGGCGGGGCCCGATCCGACCAATCACAGCGCAGTGGGGCCTGCCCCCTCTCCCATCCCAGTGACCAATGGGAGCTCATCGAGGTCCCACCCTCGAGTCACGTACGTGGCGTGAGGTCACGTAGCCAATTTAACACCTCGTTAAGGATGTTAACACATGCCTAACAAGGTGTTACAGCCGATGTTATCAGTCACGTACGCGGCGCGTGTCAGAAGCGTGGGAAAGACACGTACAGAGATGTCGTCACCACCGCTCACAACCACGTGATTTTCCCCGGGTTCGAGTTGCGTCCGACAGAGGGTGCTCACGTGATCTCACACATGGTTCGACTTGCGTCCGACAGAGGGCGCTCACGTGATTTCACACAGGGTTTGAGTTGCGTCCATAGAGGGCGCTCATGTGATGTCACATGACGGTCACGTGATATTATTTGAATCGCTGCGCGGTAAATGGCTTTTATTCGCTAAAAAAGGCTCTGCGGCGGCTGGGAATCGACCTCGCTACCTTGTGTACAGGAGCCCGACACTCCACCCCCTGAGCTAGAAGCACATTGCTTCCCAGAGGGCTTAACTCGTCTTAGTTGTCCGTGTGTGTGTGCAAACCAGATCACGTGCTTTCCTGCTACCTGGCTTTTGTAATACGATTGAAAAACAGGATACGACATTGCCGCAGGTCATGTGACGATGGTCGTGTAATATTATTTGCATCGCCGGGCTCTAGCGTTGCTCGTCTTCTTATCACGTGATTTCGCGCGATTCAAACGGTGTTCGCGGACTCGTAGCCTCATGGCGCCCCCTTAGGTGATGCATTTGGGGTCTTCGACCCGCTAAATTTGGGCATCATGTGACGGTCCCAAATAGCAGCAGCTGGGTCCCGCTAAATGAGGGGGTTGAGGTGACGGTAAAAGTTTGGAGCTCGCGGATCGTGATATATCTTGGTCCAGCGTAAAGCTTTAAAGTAGCCCTGCTAAAATTTGGGGCGAGCTCGTAAAACTTTGTAAAAACCCAGCGAATTTCGGGAATAGGCGCCATCTAGTGTTCAAACTGTGAAGTGGTCCTCGTTAAAAATTGAGTGCCATCTGGTGGTAAAAGCTTGGACCTGCTATAAATTTTGAGCGTCGTGTGAAGGTCCCAATTAGCACCAGCTGGGTGCCACTGCATTGGGGGTGAGGTCACTTTAAAACTTTGAAGCTGGCGGACCGTGTTAATTGTTGGGCCAACGTAAAGCTTTGAAGTGGGCCTGCGTAATTTTGCGGGCCAGCGCAAAGTCTTGAAGCTCAAAGACCATGCCGGACCCAGCGATTTTTTTTTAATTTTTTGATAGGCACCATCTAGTGTTAGAGCTTTGAAGAGTTAAAGGCTAAAATTGCTGACATCTAGTGGTAAAAGCTTCGACCCGCTAAATTTGGGCGTCATCTGAAGATTCCCTTAGCACCAGCTGGGTGCCGCTAAATGTTTAGCTGGGGTCACGGTAAAACTTTGAAGTTCACAGGCCGTGCTACATCTTCGTCCCAGCATTAAGCATTCAAGTGGCCCTGCTAAATATTGGGTTCCAGCTTATGTCAGAAACGCCTCGCGTTCTGGAAATTGACAAGGAGAGAAACGTCAATTTTGCCGGCTAAAATGGAAGAGCACGAATTTTACCCAATGTTCGCGGGAAATCATTGCACGCGTCCCTGGTTTCGTGGCACGTTCGCGTGCGACGAGATTGGTCAAGAGACAGCATCACCCGGTCTTTACGTAGTGAATACGGCACCGAGGTCTTCGTTCGGTGAACACTGCGTTCTTTTCTCGTTCCGCGAGTGTATCAAAACCACCTCGGCGAGCGACTACCGACGGAACGACACACACACATTTCCATACTCGTGCGCAAGCAATTTTCCTCTCCCGCTTTAAAGCTCTCCTGCTGCTCCGCCCTGTAACCTGATTTGGAAATAAAGCCACAAAAAGGACACAAAGCGAGGATGGATCTTTTTCTTCGTTTTTATTCAATAGGCATTTATCTAAGAAATTCTCGAGACATGGAGAAACAAAAGGAGCGCGACAGCTCTTTATACAAGCATCAAACACTCGGCGGGGGGAAAAACCCCCGCGCTACATGAAAATCACACAACAAAATGGCTCTTTACACAACCCTCTGTGTACACACGGATACATCAGTCTGAAATGATGGAGAAAAAGAAAGCACTTCACTTAGAGGCTCCAATGTCCGAAGGGAAGAGTTGAAACGCCGTCGGTGTCAATGAAGCGCTTGTTGTCAAACGGGTTGAGTCCTATCTTCTCCACGGCAACAGTCTTGTTCTCGCACAACTTACGAGCGATAGTCCGCTGCGTGATCTTGTGCAGAGTTTGTTGCTCGAGAGTTTGAACATAGAGCTCGTAGGTTAGCTTACGGGACTCGCACCTTTTCACTCCTTTCGCCCTCACATAGTGCTCTCTAGAGGCTAGTTCGAGCGAATAGAGTTTTGGTTTCAGACAAACAAATCCAAGAATGTGATCTTTTGGGAATTCATTTTTGAACACTCCTAGTTTCATTTTGTTTGCGGGAGAAAACAAGGGGTGATCGCCCGGGTACTTAGAAGTATCCAGGTGAGTTTCGGCAAGGGTCGCGAGCTTCGAGTCTACATCCGGGTCGGTGATTTGGAGAATGAACGAGTCCGTGTCGCTGTACGCTGCGCGAGCGTCGGGGAAAACGCGCTTGACCTGCTTGTTGAAAAATTTGTACATGACCAGTTTGGACATCTCTAGGATAGAGAAACCCGCGTACACGGGTTTGTTCAAGTGTAACGTTCTCTGGGAAAACTGAAAGATCACCACGGTCGGGCTGATTGCCGCAAACTGCCTGAGGTTAGGCTTCTGCAGGTTTCTGAGCACTTCGTCCTCGCTCACGCTAATGACAACGTTATTGTACTGGCGTGGGTTTTCGATTGTCTTGCCATAAATTGAATTCATAATGAGTTTAGATAGGTTCTTTTGAAAGGCATTAGTCGCCTGTTTTCGCAGGTTGAGGTTAAAGTCGATGAAATCTTTAAGGAATGCACTCTGCGAAAACTTTAAAACGCGATGAATGGCCTTTAGCTGTAAGCCCAACTCCAGATACAGCTTGAGATTTCGGTAGTGAATGATGTAATTCCGTTTCGGGTAAAAGGTGAAAAGCAGCTTTCGCTCAGACTCTCGCTGGGGTAGGTGAAATTTTTCGACGAGCGCCTTTTGATAGGGTGAGAGCCATTCGAGCGGGACTCCTCGTTTCTCGGGAGCCAGGGGAAAGTCCGCGTGCGAATCGTGTAGCTCCCGAGGATAGTCGAGGTCCACCTCTAAAATGTAATTCTCGGGCGCGTCGTCGGTAACCTGCTGGAAGTGGAGAGCGTCGATTTCCTCGCGGTCTAGCCAGCGAAAATCTGCGCATGGAAGGGCTTGCCGCATGGTGGAAGCGTACAGGCCGTTCACGTCGAGGTCTAAACTTTGAGAAACCGCCGTGTTCGGATCGAAACATGCGGTTCCTGGCACGTTAGCCCTCGTGTTACGAATGGCACATTGAACGATTCCTCCGCGCAGGCCCGCTTCGATGAACAGATACATATCCACGTCGTCTAGCAGCTCCAGTTTTACCCCAGTCTAAGTGCGCAGGCGAGACTGAGCGCGGGCAGGGAAACGTAGTGTAACGGATCGAGCTCGTACGTGTCTAAAGTCCATTTCCTAAAATTTTGAAACACGTCGGCGAGAAGTAGGCAGTCGAGTTTCAGGTAGCAGTCACTGTATTCTCCTAGGCTTTTGAAATTGAATGTTTGAAAGACGGTTTGGGCGTGACGGTAGTCGTCCTCCGAAATTTGGCTGTCGTTAAGCTTGTTGTAAAATGATTCGCGGGGCGGTAGCTCGTGCTCCCGGTAAGCCTCGAAACTGGTCACATAGTCGTAGGGAAATACGCCTTTCTGCGCCAGAAGCTCAACGTGCTGCGGAAAAGCCTGCTTTAGACAGCACAGATTTTCTAGTCCCTTGGAACGGAGGTCCTGAACCAGCGCGTTCAAGCTGGCGGGGAGAAAGGCCAGACTGTCGAGAAACCGCAGGTTACCCACGTCGAGTCGCTTAAATTGCTGGCAGCTAGTGGCGAGCACTTTAATATCTTTAGACTCGAATAAGTCGAGTTGGGGTAGTATAAAGGCCAGGTCATACGAATGGTTGTGCGCGAGCACTGGAATGACTTTCTTGTTTACTCTCAGATTTAAATTGCATCCCTGACACAACGACTGCCTGTACGATCCGCTAAAGTGATCGTGATCTCTGACTTTTCTCTTTCGATTTCCAAACGATTCGCCACAAATCGCGCAGTGAGAGGCCGACGCGTGAGCCTCTTCGTCCACGCTCACCATTGGCACTTCCTCACTTCGAATCCATTCGCCAATGAGCTTGGACAATTGATTAAGGATGGAAATGAACTTTTCCACGCAGTCCTCGCCCCGGTACAAAAACTGCTCGACGATGCGCGAGTCCGTGGATCGGATTACGAGTATGCAAAAGGAACTGGAGACGTGCTTCTCGTAAGCCTGACCCAGGTTTTCCGCTTCCAGAATGGCCTCGAAATCGTAGACGCAAAAGTAGGGAAAAGGTTCCATCGCCTGTGGGCTCCGGAAATACAGCGCGTCCCCCTTTGCAGGACACACCGTTCGGACTGCCTTCTTTTCCTTACACAGCGATAAATGACTTCCCAGCGCAGTGCGAAAGCGAAAGCCCATCATACACCTTTTACAGCGAAAACGGTGAGTGCGCCTGTTCGCGAAAAGTCCGGCAAAGTTGGTGATCAGAACAAAGTGATCGTCTATCAGAAGCAAATCCACGTGCTTCTCCAACTCGCTATCGTTGACTTTGAGTGGGTAGACGAACCTTTGTTCTCGATCATAACCGTACACGTTCACGGACACGGAGTTTTTTCTCTCAAAAGCCTGCACGTCTTGCGGAAACGTCACTGGATACGCGGTGGGGAACCAATACTTGCCAAAATGTCCTCGGTAGCAAGAAGCTCTCGATCGATTAGAGGGTGCGGGATGGAGACCGGCGAGCACAGAAAACACAAAGCACATGTTTTTCTCCGACTCGTTCAGTTGCTCGTTCACATTCACTAGGCACTGTCTGCTTGGAAGTTCCCCGGGTAACACAAAACTCGCACAACCGACCGTGGGCGGAATGAAACGTCCCACGGTGATGGTGCAGGTCTGAATGGCGACGACGACAAGCCCAGGTCCTCGTTCTTGATACTGTTCGAGGCGAGCAGAGATCTCGGCGCATGCAGTCTGTAGAGCATCGCGAATGCTACCTTCGGCCCAAACCGTGTGGACTAAAGAATGAAAGTAGTGCACGCTGAATTCAAATTCGTGGTCACCGCTGAGACGAGTTATTTCCTCGGTTAGGGTGATGAAAAAACGCAATGGCATTTCATAATGCCTAAAAACATTGGCCATTGCGTCGGACTGAAGCCGAAAAAGCGTGGATACATCGTGAGACTCGTCGTCGCGCTCGTGCAAATGCATATCATAACGCGCGGTAAAGTGTCGAAAGGCGCACAGTGAGTTGATGAACGGAAGGCAATCTTGCGGCGGGATATTGTGAACCTGGGCCAGATGAACTTGTAACGACTCCGCGCTGGAGTACTGCTGCCGCTCTCGCGCATCACACAAGTGGCAGGTTACCATTTTTTTTTCTGGAGTTGTCCCGAGCGGCTCACAATTTTGTTTTAGTCAGAGCACGAGAAAGTGATGACCGGTGACCGCTCGTCACCGCTGGTTTTCTCCATCGTGAGTCCCTTCATCGCCCTCATGCTCTGGAGATCTTCCTCATTCAGTTCGGCGAACCGCTTGGGTAAAAATACTTTTACCACATTGCTCTCCAGCTGCAGAGTCACACAAACGGATGGCCCGTAACGGGTGTCCATTCGCCTCACCTCCAGCACGGGTATCTTGACGTTGCACGGAATGGCGCCCATGCTGACAAACAAAGACGACGACGACGCTCGCAGTGACGACAGCTTGTTCAGGACCCCGTCCATTTTGGGTTGACCGGAGGGCGGCGGTGGCTCGAGGTGGGACGACAGTCTGGAAATAATGACACATTAGTATACGGCGGCCCTACAAAGCTTTTTCTTTTTCAGCATTACCTTTTCCTTCCGGAGAGAAAGCAGTGAAGACACTTAGGGGACGATACCTCGGATTATATATACCGAGCGGATTGCGTAATGACGACTCGCTGTGCAAGCAACACGTGCGTAGGAAAAGAAAAAACCGAGACTGAAAACAAAAGAGCTAGCGAGCCAGCGTCAAAACAACGTATTTAACTTGCATATGAGAAAAAATCGCATTCCGAGCTTTCGAGACATGTCCAAACCTGCATATACTTCCTGCTAGACGACTTTGAAGCGAGCGGTCAACTCGGACCTTGGAGAGCCTCCGCTTATTTTTTTTTTCATATCCTTCGTTGCTTAATCACTGTTAATCGCTGCTCGCGTACGCGCTGTCGCTATAAACCGCAGTGTTGCGACGCGTGTTTAAAGGGCAACTCCGGCCAAAACTCAAAATGAATTAAATTACTGGTATAGCTTTAGTGACACAAAATACGACCCCAGCCAAAATTTCACTTCCGTGGGACGCCGCATTCTCAACTAATGCCGATAATAAAAACGCGACCCGCCGCGAGCCGCTGCTCCTTAGCGGGCGGCCAGCGGGTTGCCGATCACTAAAGCAACATGGGGCCGTGATGTCAACGTCGTCCTCTTTTTTTCCTCCGTTCCGGACGGGCGCACGGCGCAGCCGTCGCGCGCGCTTCTTTGTGCCGCTATTACCGCTACTTCGGCTTGTAATTGCGTGTTTAGCCGTTGCTTTTACCTGTAGCCCGTGTAACTCCGGTATAGCTTTTTCTTTATTTGCTTGTGAGGACTCCTAGACCCGTTTTAGCGAGCAACTCGGTGCGCCCAAGACTGCGCAGCTGTTCCTCGAAAGATGCCGAGTACAACTTAAAGCGCTGTGGGCTGCTCAAACAAGCCGCTGCGCAACCCGGAGGTGCTTTTTCACAAGTTTCCAACGGATCGGAAATTGGAGAAGGTGTGGGTGAACGCTGTTCGATGAGTGGACTTTGGAAAGCCTTGGACGTCGACCCCCAGATCGAAGCTCTGCTCCGATCATATTTCGCCGGAGAGTTACGAACGAAACCTACAGGTGTTGGTTGCATGTGGCTTGTCAGCGAAGGCGTCGGGGCTTAAAAAGGATGCCGTGCCGTCGCTCTTTGCCCATCGTACATGTACAGAAAAGGTAAACATGATAAAAGTATCCTGATCAATAAATAAAACAGTCATTGTCAAGTGCAGTGTTGAAGATTGAGCATTCACGCTCCATTGAATGTCTGTTGAATGGGGAATGGTGGGCATGTAGAGTACAACCACTAACTAGCTCCAAACACTGAAGTTTGTAATGAAAACGAAAACAATGTTCTGCTTTGCGTCACTGCTTGTTTACTACGCAATCTCGTGCGTAGTATTCAGGCCCGTAACGACTACTAGCAAACAGCCGGCGCGTGAAGCTCATGCGATATAAACATTCGCCTCCCAATCGTTCGAACCCGTTACGCAGCAGTATTAATTAACATTGCACTTGTGAATACCACAAGGGACTTTAAAGAAATCGCGAAAGTTCGGATTTGTAAGTTAGGACTCCTAATTTGCCCGAGTTCGGCTGGAGGTAAATATAATATTTAAAAATGCAAAAAAAAAACAAAAAAAAACACTTGCCTTAGTCAGAAGTTACGAAGGAAAACTTAAAATCCTATGTATTCTAATAAAAAAAATTGTTGTGGGTGGGGGTGGGAATGCGGAAGGGAAGGAAAGTGTTCTCACCTTGCTAACGTTCGCTAGCTTTGAGAAGAAAATGACTGCCCAAAAAACTTTTTTTTTTAGTGCGGCAAGTTTTTTTTTTTTTATTTGTACAAAGATTCACTACTTGGACGAACTCATGTGGTGAATTAGTGTCGTAGCTTACAAATTCGGCCTTTACACGCCTGAGGAAAAAATAACGAAAAAACAGACGTCTACAGCTTGACACACGTCTGTGCGGTCGTCGCGGAAAGCGCCAAAGAGCCTCAAAGCTTCGTATCTGGGACTGACCCGCCGCGCGAAAGCGCCAGCACTGTACGTCACTGGCAGCGCGGCGTAGAGCAACGCCGCTCCATCCACGGAGCCCCGATGACAATTTAGGCCTAGCGACAAGTGCGGGAGACCGCACGCACGCCGCCGAGAGCTGCCGAGTACGGCACCGAACGAGTTCACTCGTTTTCCAGTTGCTAGCTTTTGGGTATACAAGCAACGAGTACGGCACGGCATAGCGCACGCGCGGCGGCGGCCGCCGAGTACGCCACCGAACGAGTTGACGGGTTTTCCAGTCGCTAGCTTTTGGGTATACGCACTAACTCTTGCTACATATGCTGGATAACTACCACGTATACAGAATTTTAAAAAAAATCAGCTTCCCTTCTATCTTTAGACGCCTAGCGCAACAGAGGTAGGTGCCGCTTGGACTGCGTACTCGCTGAACGAGAACGATCTTGGCGTCGCGTCCACATAACGGCTGATTTCCAGTGTTGCCGGAACCTCGAGCGGCTAGTTTCGGTATCGTCGGCCGCGCCCCAAACAAAACTTTGAGACGTGGATATTTTTAAAACTACGCACAATAACGAGAAAAAAATTACACCTTGCAATTCAGGGGCGCTAACTGCACTAAAAATAGCCATAATCCCAAAATCGAAAGTATGGACCGGAGTTGCCCTTTAAATTAGCATTTATCGCGAAGCTAAAGAGCGCCGCGCGGGAATGTGCTTCGCGCGAGTACTTAGAAACGTGTCTGCGATGCCTTTTTTTCCACTCGTCTACGAGCGTAGCACGCGAGGTCACCGACATGTCTTCGGATCTGGACAAGGTCAGGCGCGTTTTCCCCGACGCTCGCGCAGCGTACAGCGACACGGACTCGTTCATTCTCCAAATCACCGACCCGGATGTAGACTCGAAGCTCGCGACCCTTGCCGAAACTCACCTGGATACTTCTGGGTACCCGGCCGATCACCCCTTGTTTTCTCCCGCAAACAAAATGAAACTAGGAGTGTTCAAAAATGAATTCCCAAAAGATCACATTCTTGGATTTGTTTGTCTGAAACCAAAACTCTATTCGCTCGAACTAGCCTCTAGAGAGCACTATGTGAGGGCGAAAGGAGTGAAAAGGTGCGAGTCCCGTAAGCTAACCTACGAGCTCTACGTTCAAACTCTCGAGCAACAAACTCTGCACAAGATCACGCAGCGGACTATCGCTCGTAAGTTGTGCGAGAACAAGACTGTTGCCGTGGAGAAGATAGGACTCAACCCGTTTGACAACAAGCGCTTCATTGACACCGACGGCGTTTCAACTCTTCCCTTTGGACATTGGAGCCTCTAAGTGAAGTGCTTTCTTTTTCTCCATCATTTCAGACTGATGTATCCGTGTGTACACAGAGGGTTGTGTAAAGAGCCATTTTGTTGTGTGATTTTCATGTAGCGCGAGGGTTTTTCCCCCCGCCGAGTGTTTGATGCTTGTATAAAGAGCTGTCGCGCTCCCTTTGTTTCTCCATGTCTCGAGAATTTCTTAGATAAATGCCTATTGAATAAAAACGAAGAAAAAGATCCATCCTCGCTTTGTGTCCTTTTTGTGGCTTTATTTCCAAATCAGGTTACAGGGCGGAGCAGCAGGAGAGCTTTAAAGCGGGAGAGGAAAATTGCTTGCACACGAGTATGGAAATGTGTGTGTGTCGTTCCGTCGGTAGTCGCTCGCCGAGAAGGTTTTGATACACTCGCGGAACGAGAAAAGAACCCAGTGTTCACCGAACGAAGACCTCGGTGCCGTATTCACTACGTAAAGACCGGGTGATGCTGTCTCTTGACCAATCTCGTCGCACGCGAACGTGCCACGAAACCAGGGACGCGTGCAATGATTTCCCGCGAACATTGGGTAAAATTCGTGCTCTTCCATTTTAGCCGGCAAACTTGACGTTTCTCTCCTTGTCAATTTCCAGGACGCGAGGCGTTTCTGACATAAGCTGGAACCCAATATTTAGCAGGGCCACTTGAATGCTTTACGCTGGGACGAAGATGTAGCACGGCCTGTGAACTTCAAAGTTTTACCGTGACCCCAGCTAAACATTTAGCGGCACCCAGCTGGTGCTAAGGGAATCTTCAGATGACGCCCAAATTTAGCGGGTCGAAGCTTTTACCACTAGATGTCAGCAATTTTAGCCTTTAACTCTTCAAAGCTCTAACACTAGATGGTGCCTATCAAAAAATTAAAAAAAAATCGCTGGGTCCGGCATGGTCTTTGAGCTTCAAGACTTTGCGCTGGCCCGCAAAATACGCAGGCCCACTTCAAAGCTTTACGTTGGCCCAACAATTAAGACGGTC